TTACTATGACACCACAGATTTTATCAATTAAAAGTAATACAATCAGCTTATAACAATGGGATAAACAAAAGACGTAAGAACACTTCTCGAGATTGGTTTGTTTTCACACCAACTTCTGAATCTAACGAAGCGGTATCGACGCCATCTTGCTTTGTCAAAATTGAGATAGGTGGCGCTCGCTATCTGCTCCGGAATCAGGGGGAGGTAAGTCTAGATTGACGTGTCATAAAATTGGTAAGGCAGAGAGGGAGTTGCTAATCCCAGGGACAGTATATAGAGGGGATTGGCAACTCTGCCCCAGTCAAGATTCTATAGCACGTCGCTTTTGTGTTTGTTCACCGAACCGCGAAGTCATCGAGAGCCCCTCTCGATCACCCCGCGCTTGCGCACTAGCGTTAAAATCAAGCACGGATCTGCTTTCGGTGTCATGTCAACAATCTCGCCGAGATCGAAGTGTTTTGATAACGGTTAGCCCTGATTGGGACTGTGAAATAGTAGGTCTTCTTTTTATTCAAGGGCAGGGCTATCATTGCCACTATGTCTAGCCTTTCGGCTGTGTTGGTGGCTATTACAACAAATCACATTTCGTAAAGCACGTTCAAGTGAAAATAATGCTAATATTGACACTTTTCGACACAAAATCAGCACAAGTTATTTGTTATTTTTGCCACAAAAATTAGTACTTCATATAAAAAAAATATTCAACTTTCTATCGCTGTAAATTTCAAAAAGAAGTATTTTTTAACTGAGCTGATCCTCGAATGCAGGCGATACTTTTTTGTTGCGTTTAACATTTCCGGTTGTTTACGGCTTTTAACAACACGTGGCCTTCGTTACCAGACGAGTAATTTCATCTCTGACATCGCTATCGTTCCAAATAATGCAAATCAAATCAGGCCTACTTAACATAGAAATTACTCGGCTGTTTATTGATATTAATTGTTAAAAAAAATTACAAACGATAGTTTATAAAATTAATCAAAACAGTGAGCAGTTACCAACTACTTTCGCAATGATTTACGTTCCGGTGAGAAATATTGCTGATATTTACACTTTTTGACACAAAAATAACACTAGTTAAATTATATAATTTGCAATTAGAATGGGTTGGGTCGTTATAAAAAAAAATCAGCTTTCTATTGCTGCTAATTTAAAAAAGATCGGTCAAATACTTTTGGAGTGAGGTGGTTCACATACATGTGGTTTTTTTTTATCCCGCATTTTTGTCTGTCGACGCCCACCACAATATTCTGAACCACGCGTTACATCGCGTTTAAAAATAAGAAAATATACCCCAAAAACAAGACATCAATAACTATGATACCACAGATTTTATCAATTAAAAGTAATACAATGAGCTTATAACAATGGGATAAACAGAAGACGTAAGAACACTTATCGAGATTGGTTTGTTTTCACACCAACTTCTGCATCTAACGAAGCGGTATCGACGCCATCTTGCTTTGTCAAAAATGAGATAGGTGGCGTTCGCTATCTGCTCCGGAATCAGGGGGAGGTAAGTCTAGATTGACGTGTCATAAAATTGGTAAGGCAGAGAGGGAGTTGCTAATCCCCTTCAATATACGTCCCTGCTAATCCCCTTCACTATACGTCCCTTCACTATACGTCCCTGATGGTTCTAACCGTGCTTTAGAAAATGTTTATACTTGAATAGTTTATTATACAGTACTTGAGAGTATGTCAAAGTCATTGATACATGCATTGGGGACATTTATAGCAATTCATCCACGGTACCCATTGGGTCAAATATGAGGACCCTGGGCGTCATGGAAATCGGCAGTTATTCAAGATTTTTACCCATTATAGCCTATGGTTACATCTGACCCTGGCCAGCTCCCAGATTGATCTTTGACCTTAACACAATATATTTGTAAACATGTTTTCACTTCTGGTCTACAGATAGCTCTAGGCTTTATTTATTTTTAAATATCTTATCTTTTAGAAAAAGTTCCATGATTTTTTTTACAGATTGAACTTTGTGACCTTGAAAGAAGGTCAAGGTCATTTATACAACATTGAATTTCCATGAACCATGAATGCTTCATACCAAACTTGAAATGTGAACTATAAATGGTATACATTATAATTATAGTTGTGTCTCCCGTAAAAGAATTTTGATTCAACAATTTTTGCAAAAGTTATTGCCCTTTGTTAATTTCAGTATTATATTTTTTGTCCGGAGATCTCCTCCTACATTTTTGACGGATTTCTTTGAAACTTAGTAGGCTAAATAATCATGATATTTTGTTGTGTTTCCTTGAAAAGAATTTCGATTCAACAATTTTTGCAAAAGTAATTGCCCTTGGTTTATTTCAGTATTTGATTTTTGTCCGGCAATCTCCTCCTACATTTTTCAACGGATCTCTTTGAAACTTGGTATACATTATAATTATAGTTGTGTCCCCCGTAAAAGAATTTTGATTCAACAATTTTTGCAAAAGTTATTGCCCTTTGTTCATTTCAGTATTATATTTTCTGTTCGGAGATTTTCTTCTACATTTTTTATAGCATGTCAGCTAACCACTTTTAGAAAGATGCAGATCTTATTTCAATGTAAGAAAGTATATAACACTATATGGCATTCGACGGGCGTATATTGTTCCGCCCCGCGGTACTCTTGCTACATATCTCAGGTGACCGTTAAGGCCCATTGGCCTCCTGTTGTCTATTCTTTTGTCAGGGCCCAAAGCTTAGCCTTGTAGCCCTATGATCTAAGTAACATTTAAATGATTTATTTATTTTTGGATGTATAATCTTTTGTAACCTATGTCCAATGTTTTGGAAGAAATTAGTTGAATTTTTATTCGAGAGGACTATATATCAGTGATACTAATTAGTATGATAGTAATTATCTATGATGTAATTAATAGTTGCCGGTGATCGAATCCACAAAGGAGTAACTCCTCATTAAATTGATCCCCCATGAAAATAAAGTGATTTACGGCAATGTTACTGAAAACAAATTGTTGAAAATCTGTGTCAACATGCAAAAATAATAAAGAATATATGAACATAAGCGATATTTTTGTTTATTATGGAGATCTTGATATGAAAATTTAATCGGCAAATAAAAATGGACATACATATGTATATTATATAACAGTTTGTATTTTGCGTTATTCCAATACAGTAACCAAAATCACAAAGACACTAGCTAGAATGTCACATATTACCTAAAATTCAATATCTGCTGCGATATCTGCCATCTTTAGAAACCAGCTTCATTTATCGAAGAAATAAAGGGACCACCATTTGATTCTATGGGGAGGGTGACTTGCAGAACTTAGAAATATATTTTCTGGCATTCACACAGATGAAAATGAATACTCTGTCATCAAGTTGTGAGATCGGGCAACAATTTATACCATATACTGCCTTGACAATAAATTTAAACATTCAGCTTGATATTGAAAATAATGCTGGCTTTTCCAGTCCCAACCCCTGCCCCCTGGCATTTTCAACATAACAAACCCCCTTCCCTGAGAATCAATGGTTGTGCCCTACAGCATGAAGAAAATATTTCCTGCAAAACTATTCAGGTTGTATAAGCATGTTCATTATGTTAACAATTTGATAACAACAAAATGAGTATTAATTACAGGGACTAATTAAAACAAGTAGAATGAAAACATATGATTGATTTGTTCATGTATCATCTAACATACAAATGTACAACAGACTGTTCGGACAACATCAAGGACTTTAAAATACAATGAA